AAAAGAAAAAGGAAAAGAAAAAGGAAAAGAAAAAGGAAAAGAAAAAGGAAAAGAAAAAGGAAAAGAGCCTGGTTTGCAAGAGAAAAGGGGCCAGGGGACAGCTTGGCTTGGGGAAGGCTCAGGGAGCAGAGACAGGGAGGTAAATCTGAGGGACTGTGGGGACAAATGGTCGGGGAGGAAAAGAAAAGTTTGTATGAGGGGCTGGAAGGATGGAAACAAAAGGGATGGGGGGGCAGGGAGCAGGGCAGGCCAGGGAGCACCCTTTCTCCTACTGCTATTGCTGAGTGTGGACAGTCACTTCTATATGGCAGAGTTCAATTTCCTCCTATGAATTCTTGCAAGGTGAACAGCCAGCCTGATTCTGTCCTGCTTGCCTTGGGCATCCCTTCACCTGTTGCCAGCTGCTCAGTGGGGCACAACTTCCACACTGGGCATGCATGGGTCAGGATATGGGTCTGCTGGAGCGGTTGTGGCTGCCCATCTGCTGGAGCCCACTCTGCTGTGGCTGCTGCTGCATCCCCTGTGAGCTGATTTCCCTTTAAGATGGATTAAACTGTTTTCATTGCATTTCAATTACTCTCTGCAACTCTTGGCACTTCATCGAGACATGAGGTGGGGGAAGAAAAAGCTCAACAGGCCTCTCTCCCACCTTTTTTTTTTTTTTTTTAATTTGGAAGGATGATAAAGTTGGAAATCAAATCTCCCTAATCCATGACCCTGCAGCTCACAAACTGAGCAAGGGCAATCTGCCAGGACAGCTGCCTGGTCCCTGCTACATCCCTCCACATCCCCAGCACAGTCTGACAGGGAAAGACCCTACTTACGAGATGTTCATAACAGCTGCATGGAGAGGATGCATCCCTGAGCCCAGGGGAAGAAGTGTGGCCCATTACCTTCCTTCCCCTCAGCCTCTTATTTCGGTGTTCCTCTTCCCTTTCCCACTAGTTTTGCTGATGCTCAGAGGTCTCTGATGTGCAGCAGATGACCTGACATGTCTTATGGCAGTCCTGTGTGTCCCAAAGGGGTCTCCTTTGTCATCAGCACGATTTGCAACATTAGCACTACAGTCACTGTTTGCAGCATCCCAACTGCAGCTCCCAAGACTGAATAATAGATGAGATTTCAAATAAGGCAGATGATAGCCTTGCCTGAAGAAGCTTCCTGCTAAGCAGGGAGTCCTTTCCTCACCTGGCAGAGCAATGCCACCTGCTTCCTCCTGTAGCACCCATGACTGCTGTGCCCCTCTGCTGTGCGGGGAGATGGGGCTAGGTTGGGGGCTGCTGGAGCTGGTGGGAGATGGTTTGCTCTGCTCCAGAAAGACTGAATCACATCTTCACTGTGAGCCGAAAAGCCTCTGCTGTTGTAAGAGATCCTTCACTGAGTGCAAATATTTGCTCGCCAGTCTCTTTTTAACAGCAAAGAGATTAGGCTGGCCTGAGCTCTGGACAGAGCAAGGGATAAACAAAAGGGAGTGGATGGAGAAGAGGAGCCAAGTGCACTGTGTATCCCAGCTAAGCACACTTTCCCTAGCTATCCATCCTGCCCTCACTCCCACATGCCTGCCCAGCTTCTGGCTGCTCATCCACCCAGCAGCCAGGCAGTGCTTGCTGAATTACTGTGATGTGAGTCCTTGCAATTATGGTTTGTAACTCCTGGCAGAAAGTGAGAGAGAAAATGTCAAAATGTCACATCAGGAAGAAACCCAAAGAGCTGCCCTGGAGATATCTGTCTATCTCTGCAATCCTCTAACACCTCTGAAGTTACTTCTATCCAGCCAGGATGCCTCTGGTGGCAGCTCCAGCTTGTGATGTCTTGTCCTGCCTGCCCTCCTCATGGAGCAGACACCTTCCTGCCCCTCATCTCTGGAGATTAACTCCATGTCCTTCTGGAGGTGCCCCCCCAGACTGTGTGCCGTATCTTCAAAAGGATGGCTGCCCAGTGGACACAGGTTCATTTCCATCTCCCCATAGAAATTACTCCTGAGTGGCCCTGACAAGGAGATGGCAGCAAAAGGTTCTTACTCTGACTACTGGAGACTACATGGAGTTACTTGCCTGTTCTGAACAGACTCAAGCCCCCCATGTAGGAAACTACAAAGCCTGGGAGGCTCCTGTGCACTCTGAGAGGACAGAGCACTCGCATCGTACCAGCCATGTTAGGAACCACTGGTCTAATCAGCCTCTCTGATGGGACTCTGTGCTGTAATAGACTTTGGAGAACCAGCTGTTCCTTCCCACCATGCCTCCACATGGTGGGAATTACAGCAGCAGAGCTTTCCAACAGTTTCCAGGCTTGTTCCCTATGGAAACACCAAAGCTGTACTCCCACCCTGCATGCCAGCCCAGGAGCTTTCATCCTTGCTGAAGAACAGACAGAAGCTGCCATGGTGGGTGGCTCCTGGGACATCTTACCACATTAACCAGTCACATCTCAACTTAAATCATAACGTACCAGCAAATAAATGCACCAGACACCCAACAACCAGACTTTGGCCCCGGTGATGCCTGCAAGCAGTCAGAGACTGGGCTTCTTGGCTGGCATATAGTGAAAACTATAGACTCATTTGGGTCAAGAACTTCTTGCCATCATAACCTTTGAGGAAAGCTTGGCTGCTGAGGCAGGGCTGGCCATGAAGGATTGCTCAGGCACAAGTCGTGCCCAGGCACCAACCCCTGGTGGGCTGCAGGCACCCCAGAGCTGCCTTGTCGTGCCCTCTGCCCATCAGCTCTGCCATGGCCCCACACACCGTCATCTCCCACGTAAACCTCAGCTCAGCCATTCTAGCTGGCTGTGAACACAGGGGTGGCTTTTATATATAGAAACCTGGCAGCATGCTAATAGCTAGCTAGATAAGGAAGAAGTGATTCGCAACCTGAACAAGAAAAACGACTCCCCTCACCCTGCCTCTAGAAGCTTAAAAAATTGTATACTGTGGTGTAGGTGACGTAGGTCTGCCTACACGCCTGATTTCAAATGTTCCCCGAATTAGCAGGAACACTTCATGTGGCATTCAGCAAGGGGGGCCGCCGGCCTCCAGGGCGTTGCATTAATGATGATTCAAAGAGTTCAGAATCTAATCGCAAGGGATAAAAATAGCCAACTTCTACTCAGAACGATTCATTGCACAACAGACCTTCCTCCAGCCTCCTGCTCTTGTTCCTCCCCAGGAGCTTCCCCCGGTGCTGCAGCTGAGCAGTGCTGCTTGCTGTGGGCCACCATGAAGGGCTGAAGCCGTGGCAGAGCCCTGGCGGCTGTGGTCTCCTTGCTCTCGGGCCAAAGGGGTGTCAGTGCTGGGGCTGGCAGTGGATGCCCACTGTGGTGATGGGGAGGGGTAAGGTCTGGCTAGAGCCTTTACGAAACAAGAAATAACTTTTTCCTTGTATGCTGCACACACTCTTTTTTTTCATTTTTTCTCATTTTTCTTTTTTTTTTTTTTCTTTTCTTGTATCAGTGCAACCAATTTCTGTGAAAATCAGTGATTGTAATATGGCAGATTTTTTACTTAGGGTGTTGACTAATTTGGAGAGGCAGATGAGAGGGAGAACCTGTTTTCATGCAAATATCGCTGGTAACATAGCCAAGTCTCAAGAGAATGAAATTTTAGAACCTATTTGATTGTCCCTAAATAGACATTTCTCAAAGTTCTCTAGAAGAAGCAATCTGCTCTGAAGAAAGAAATGCAAAACATTAAGGAAGTCAAATGAGACAAACAAAGGGAAGGTAAGAAAGGGAGAGTTTTCAGGAAGAAAGCTGATGAAGGGAAGTGGAAGGACCAGGGAAGCGAGCAAAGGGCACTGTGGTTTGAAGCCTCACTGCAGGTCTGTGCTCCCTTACGAGGCTCTCTGTGCACGTGCTGGTGGTGCTGCATGCTCCAGCATGTCTGAAAGAGCAGCTAGTAAGACAGCTTGGGAAAAAAAACATCATTTCTTCTGTTCAGTGCTGTCCAAGTGGCCAGGTGGAGTGTGTGTGCATTTGCAAAGCCCTCCATGGAACGAGCAGAGCACTCCACATGTCTGCCCTCCACCTAATAGAGCATGCTGTGACTCCTGGTGATGGAGATTTTCCACGTTTGCAGTGAGCATTTGTGGCACAGCACAAAGCAGGCTGCTCTGCATGGCTGTCTGTGACACAGCCTCACTGCGATCTTCTGGCCACATCCTCCTGCCTCACCGTGCTGTCAAAGCCAGCAGCAGCCTGGCGATGGGGCACCAAGGTGAGATTGAGGTAGGGATCGCTGGCAGGACAAGGACAGGCTTCTTGCCCTAGATTATTTATGACACAGCAGTTACGGGATGCACTGCGTGGCAATGACTGCTGCTGCTGTGCCACCAGATCTCCGCAGCTTTCAGAGATCTTGCTTTGTACCAGGGCAGGTGCTCCTGCTGCCTTCACGTCTGGATGGAGCAAGGCGGGGCCCCACCTGCATTCAGGATGTGGAATGGACGTGCTCTCTGGCAGTGGCTCTGCTTTGTGCCTGAGACAAAGCAGTTCACAGTGCACGAGGGCCTGTGGGGCAAAGGGGTGCAGGTGGCGAAAAGTCAGCAGCTCCCTCTGCCATTCTTTCTGGAGAACAGACTAAAGCTCATCTGCAGCCTCCTGCATGCTCAGAGCTGCGGGAACACTTCCTTTGTCTCAAACTAGGTCAGTGCAGAGGCGTGATGTTACTATAGCAATTGGTATTAGATTTCATAACTTTATTTAGTGATGGGTGTGATGCAGGATTCACTACGAGATGGAGGGAGGGCTGTCACTGAAACGCCCTCAGCAGCTCTCCAGCCTCAGCCTCCCCCTGCCACCACCCCTCCAACCACACGCACACAGCTGTCCCCCCCGGCAGAGATGAAGAGCCCCAGAGGCTGCCCCAGGCCGTGCCGTACCTCTCACAGCTTGCAGGGTTGCAGGACTAGGCCAGATTCAGCATCCTGTGCACTGTGTTTCTCTCTGGGCTCCAGAGCTGCCCCTCATGAAGACCTGCCAGGCAAAGAGAAAAGGGAAAATGTCCTCAGGTCACAAAGCACCACGGACTCTCCCTGCCGAATGTCCCAGCCCTAAACCTGGTTATGTAAAGTCACTGCAACTCTGACTGACACCCGGGTCGTCATCATTAATTCCTAGCAAAGACACAAGGGAAGTGCTAGAAGGCATCTTGCTATGGAGGCAAAGGTGATACCTGTGTGGGAGGTGTGGAGGTGGGTTTCCTGTCCCTCAGCATCACAAACGGACGGAAGGATGGACTAGAAATCATCTGGGTGGGGAGGAGACTATGCAAAATGCCTGGGCTTCCTGCCTGGAGGCACAGGGCTGGGGACAGCCCCTTTGTGGGGCTTTTCCTTCCCCACTCCTTTATCTTAAAACAATCCTTCAAGGACTCCCCTTGTTGCCCAAATCTCTGCCTTTGTTTCTTATCCATTCCAGGACAGCAGGAATGGTTCTGCAACCCTCTGTGCCTCAGCCTTTGTGCTTTTTTCTTTGCTCAGAGTCCTGGGAGAACAGAGCCTGGAAAGTAGGGAAGGACAGATGTGGGGATGAACACCTCCTCTGTGATGGCAGCTACCTCTGATGCATTTAGCCATATACCTGCTGAAATCAGCATCTTATTCTCACCTATTGATGCCCATTACACTTGTGCTCAAGCAGACCATGCTAATTCATTCCCATCTGGTCACTAGGTGCTACTATATTGCAGCTAAAATGTTGTGGCTCCTTCCTTATTGTCCATTCACCATCAGCTACATTGCAACTGGCTGAAAAATAAATACTCCCTGTAAGAAAAGTAAACAAACACATGGGAAAATAACAATGCTTCTTAGTGTTCTCTAAAACCTATGCATTACAACACAGGTTGCATTATTTTATCAGTGAGAGTCAATGTTATTTGGGGTTTTCATCAGTTAATTTCCAAAGTGGGCTTGTGTGCATTTGTTTTCTGTCCCGCAGTGAGAAGATGCAGGCACAGTGCCAGGGCAGCCTGGGGCATTCAGCCTTTCCCTGCTGATCAACAAGGGGAAGGAACAGCATGGGAACCCAGAGCAAGGAGACAGCCTTCCTGTGCTGGCATTTCTACTCACTCCTAACACAGGAGGCACTTGGGTCTCAAAAGGCTGGATATGATGGACCGACAGAGTGCAGGTAGAAGGATAAGAATATTTGGTATTCCAGAGGTATTCGGAAAGTCCTAATGGGTATCCCAACAGAGAAAAAAATTTTCCTAGAAAAATCAGATTACGATCCTCCTAATCTGGTACAAATCCTCTTCCTCTTCCCCCTAGTTCCATACCACTTGAGTCCACAAAAATGCAGAGGAAATGGTTATAGGAAAGGCAGTCGTCCTGGGAGAGCAAAGAAGGAGACAGCTGTTATTTGTCATGCCCATCCCCAAAGGTCACCAGTCCGCTACACCAAAGTGTCTGTTCTGAGTTTCTAGCTGCTAGTGGGTACTCAGCTGTGAAACCCAGAGACAGAAGTTCTATCCAGGAGCCTCAGCAACGATGCTTCTGCCCAACCAAGGAGACCTTTGTTGTACAGGCATTAGCTCTTGAAGACAAGGCACAATTCCATATCCAAAGCTCACACAATCCTGAGATGTGAATGAGGTTTCAAGTTGCTGCCAACTGGCCACTGCTCCTAGTACTAAATACAAAGCTGTGTGCATGCAATAAGACTAGGTGTGACAAGTCTGCACGCTTCAGGTGGCCATGCAGCAGTAATTGCATTGACACTAACTTTTTCAAAGCTCTCCCCTCACAAGTAATTTCCAGTTACTGGTGAGTTGGATTAGATTTGAGACAGCAATCTAGACATACAGAACCTGCAGTGGCCATTAGAACATCCAGTATCCATGTCTGGTGCCACCCACATCCATTCACAGCATCAGTATCTGTGTGACCAGTATCCAGCAGCAGTTATTGCTCTCCAGCTCTGATGCCACCAGTACTGTTACAAAGGGTGACACTGTATGTCACTAGAGCCAACAGTGTCCATCATTAAAGTAACCAGTGTATGATAGCAATGTTATCATCATCTCTCACTGCACAAGTAGGCACCACTGCTGCCCAGCATCCTGTATCACTGCCTACTTGTGCTGCAAGCATCTGTTCTCAGGACTACCATTCCCTCTGTGTCTGTCCCCAGCACTCTCAGAGTATCCCAGGGTACTACTAGGAATGGTGCTGACCCTGGGACCCATTGGCACATAGTGGCTGTGATGGGCAGGAGGAGCAGAGCCCATGCTCCCTGCCTCCACGCACCTTGCAGGTTTCTCAAAACAAAAGGTGAAAGTAGACTTCTTTTTTTTTCTGCAACAGTTTTGTCTTTGCATGTTATTGTTAGACTGAACAAGCAGTGCTATAATTACCTTTAATTAATAACAGCATCGACACCCCAAGGAAATGCGAATGAACAATTGTGCCACCAACACAACAATGTTACATTAGCTACATCCACCTCTATCATCCCCCTCTTTATTGCATTCTCAGGAGCAGCTTGCTCACCATATCGTGGCTGCTCTTGGAGAACTGAAGAGGCCTTGTGAAAGAAGACCTCTGTGGTGGTGGTACCAGTGGCAAGAGGTCTCCAGACCGAGGGGGAATGCAAGGACAAGTTTGATCCCAGAGTTCCTGTTCTGTTGTTTGCTGAGATCTGCCCTGCTAATGAACAGATCTTCCTTCCCCACAGGGTTCAAGACGGTTTTGGTGAACTAAGGCCTCAGGCATTCTGCAGCCAAACCTTCCTGGAGAAAGCTGGTCACCTCCTGGGCTTTGCTTGGCCTCACTCCTTCTGCCAGCCCCCCTGTAGGGCTGCTTTCACTTCATCTCATCCAGAGTCACCCCCACAGCTTCGCTGGCACCAAGATAGAGCAAATAAGCCTGCTGTTGTTATCCATAGCCTTGAGAGCACCCTCATGCACATCAACCTGGTCCCGTCAGGACTGGAGAAACCGATCTGCTTGTGTTTGAGGCTGCATCTTATCAGCAGTGTGATGGCTGAGGACATCTCTCTCCACAGACACAGTCCCGAGGTTCTGCCCTCCAAAGCTCTCCGTGGGGCTGAGGGCTCCGCCGCCTGCCGCCGCCTGTCCCTCTGCAGCACCATGGAGAGCGGCACGGGAGGGCAGCACCACCCAGCGCATCTCCTGCCGGCTGACAGCGGTGCGAGGGCTGCTGAGAACACAGCGTTCCCCTCCTCCTGCTGTTATCCATAACACCAGAGTCTGGCTCCAAGATTTACACACCGCAAGTTCAGGTACGGCCATTACAAACCTCTGGCCTGCTCTCCCTTATAAGATAGGCCGTAGTATTTCTCTGTGCAATTTCAGGGACAGAAATAATGAAAACAAATATGTGTGTGCTAATCCTATAATCATTTATCTGGATAAAACAAATAGATTGAACTCTTTTGTGTCTCCAAGAAAGAACTAAATTTCATACGGAGGATAATTGAGGCCTGATTTGAGAGTTATCACTTCCTCACAGGCAAGGAAAAAAAAAAGTGGAAAAATGGTGCTGTGTAGAGGGCAGAGAGTGCAGATGAGATATGGGTGTTCATAAAGGCAGAGCTTTGTAGCCAGTACTAAGGTGGGTCTGAAGGAGGTGAGAATGGAAAAATCTCTGTATTAAAGCACCAGAGAAAACAATAGAGCAAGTGTGGGAAGTGACAACGTCCTGCTAAGCCACAGGGAGCACGTTCCTTGCTCCAAACCCAGACGGCTGTGCTCTGTGAAGCTTCCCACACAGATGACTTGTCAGCAGAAGAGTTGTGTTCAGGTCACGGGAGGAGGGAAACAAGGTTACAGCACATACAGTGTGCTCTTCCTGCTCTCCTAACAGGAAGACACCCTAAACAAGGACACAAAGACAATGAGCACTGATCGTGCCTAAGATTTATGGAAATTGAAGGAAGCAAGATGCTGTAGCAGAAGACCCACCCATAATGACCATCGTTCCTGAAAGGGCGTAAAAATCTCCCCAAATCCCAGTCAATGTTAATCAAGAGGAACCTAAGAGATGTTGTAGAGACTCAGCAGCAATTTTCCTCTCCTGTCTTTTTGTACAGAAAAACTTTCTGTTACTGTATAGTAAAGTTACAAAGAACTGTATAAAGGGTTTGGAGCTTGTGAGGATGCAGCTGAGAAAAAGGAGAGAAAGAGTCTGAGTGACTAAAATCTGTTTGACTTGAAAGATATATCACCCTTCCTTCCAGTAAGTTTCTCAATTGAATTTTGTTTAATTAATTTACTAAATTACTAGCTGTAATTTAGTAATTAATAACTGGGGTCTGCTTTGCCTGGCTGGAGAGAAGGCTGGGCAAGCCAGAAACCAGAGAGAAGAGCACATGATTTCCTGTGGCTGGAGGGGGTCAATTCTTGGCACGGAAACAGCTCAGAGGTTCCTGGTGGTAAGATGGGAGATGAAGCAAAACTGAGACACCCAGCAGGAAAATGGATACTCCCACAGAGGGGCCCCAACCGGAGGGTGGGGAGCCATGACAGAGGGATTCCCTGATCTGCAGTACTGAGGCATCTCCCAGGCAGTTGCTGCTGGGAATGGTAGGGCATGCAGGGGAAGCTACCCTGGGGAGTCTTCATGTCTCTGCAGGTACCCAGCAGGAAGCATGAGGGAGGGAGATGGGGCTGGTGTGGTGCGGCAGACCAGGAGACGATGCTCACAACAGGAGATCTTCCTCTGAGGGGCTGAGGAGCAAAGAGGGAGCAAGGCAGACTCAGTACAGGGTATGAAGCAGTGAAGAAGGGAAATAGGAGGGACTTCATTCAGCGTGACATCATGATGTTGATAAGCAAATAGTTCCAGACAGCAAGAGACTTGAAGGAATTCTTTAACTGCTGTCACACTGAGGACAAGGAGCTTAGATAATATACTCTGCTGACAGATGGGGACAAATTTGACCTAGTTGTGCTCCTGAAGACTGGCTAGGAGAGTCACACAATTGGAGTGCTAAAATCAGCAAATGTTAAAGAAGTCAACACCTTTAGGGATGAATGAGGGTGCAAAGAAGGACGTTGAATGTCATGGTGCTGGTAAAGGGCAAGGTCAGCATTCTGAGTCATACCTATCTGTAAAGCACATGATTACAAATGCTCACAGATGTGTGCTAGCAGAAAAAGCAGGACATGGCAAACATATGGAGCCTTTTACAACCCACTGGCTCACCTTGGTGTGTCTGGTTGCCTGCTCTTTGTGATGTGCATGGAAAAGAGGTTCCCTTGCTATGAGGAACTTAACTGAAGTGAGCTGTGCTGAGAACTGCACGACTTCCTAGATGGAGTTTTATTTTTAACAAACAAGGGTGACTAAGCGTTACAAGGACCACTGAGTGCAGCAGTGCAGTCCCCACCATGGGCAAAAGTTCAAGTTACCTTGAAGGTTTTTGCCACAATATTTAGTTCAAACATAATTCCAAGACCTGAAGGATAGATGACTTCAGGGATTTTTACCTCAGCTGCTATTACCTTTGGAAAAGAGGCTGTATTTTTGAATTAAGGCACTGTAATAAATGGGGGAGTTATAGGAGCTCAAGACCTCTGATTTCATGCCTGACGTCTTCCAGGAGACAAACTAGATTTAAGATATATTTTCTTCTCTTAAATGAAAAGTATCACACATGCGGAACAGCATCAGATGGAATAGTCATCCTGGTACTGCTTAGTCCCTTGGCTTGGAGGGGACAAATGCCAGACCCTCTAACCAGCCAGGAAAGGCAGTGAGGAACTCCAGTTCCAGCTTTGTGTTGTGGAGAGGTTTGGGATCTCCTGCTCAATGATTCCAGTCTCTTGCAGTCTGCAGGAACACTCATTCCTGAGTCCTGTGGGAGAGGACAAAGCCACACCAGAAGTGCCCTATGGGAGTATGAAATTTTGGGAGCCTTCCTTCTCCCATGTGCTGCAAGATCTGAGTCTGAGATGTGAACCTATGGCCATCAGTGGCTTCCATGCTTGGAGATACAGCCAGCAGCATGAGAGACAGCCTATGGAGGGCTGGGGAATGCAAGGATGCAGGTATAGTTCGGCTCAGGGGGTGGGAAGAGAAATACCAGGCTGCACTTGCTCAGCCTGTTAGGTTCTCTCCTAGGAGCCTGACACAAGTGACAGACACCGCACTGCCCCAGGTC